CTGTGGAGTCAGTTCTCTCCCTCCATCATGTGTGTTCCAGGGAATGAGCTCAGGTCACCAAGCTTGTGCAGTAAATGTCTTTACCCACTAAGCCATCTTGCCTGTCCAATAAAAATGTTTTAAAGGGATGGCTAGGGATATAATCCAGTAGTACTGTGCTTATCTAGCATGCATGACACCCTAGGTTCAATCCCAGTCCAAAAACAAAACATGACTAAAAAACAAACAACAAAGCTGTCACAACTATAATTCCAACCTAGCATTTGTGTGTGTGGTACTAGGAACTGAACCTAGAACTATCACAAACTCTATATCCCAGGCTAATATTCAATCTCTGCTCTGTCAAGCTGGAGAAAGTCTACCGTGTCAGTGACTATCATGAATCCAAAGCCAAAATGAGAAAGAATGGACCACAGCACATTTTAGACAAGCAGCATCTTTAAAGCCAGATATAATTCACAGCACTACAAAATCCACCCCTTCTAAGTGTACAATTCGGTGTCTTTGATCACTGTAGTCACACAGTTGTACAATCACCACCACTAGTTACATTTCTGTCCCTTCAAAAGGACATCCTGTACCATTGACAGTCACTTCCACTAACTTTCCGCCTCTACAGAAGTGTGTCCTAGACACTTCAGGTCAAAGGACTCAATCATCTGTTGACAAGCTGTATCTGCTGTCCTTTCACACAGCATGTTTCACGGTTCACCCAGTGGGAGGCACCACCAATAACTCATTCACCAATGATTCTTTGTCTGGTATTGTCATACCACATTTTGTAATTTGTGAGTGGCATTTAAAAAGTATATGATGCTGCTTATGTTAACTAGCACAGAATGACCCAAGATTTGACCCAAGGTACATTATATTATTTGCACACTGATCTCTTGGCCTAAAATACTGATTATTAACATTTTACAATAGATCAATTTATAAATCATACTACAGTCAGATATGGTAGTGTATGTTTGTAGTCCCAGTGCTTTGAAAGGCTAAGGCAGAGGACTGCTTAAACCCAGCACAGGGAGACCAGCCTGGAAAATATGGAAAACCCTACACTTAAAAAATAAAATAAAGTAACATTATTATATATAATTATTAACAATGTTAACAGTATTAACCTGGGATGTAGAAGGCCCTGAGTTCAACCCCCAGTACCCCCTTCCACACAAAACAAGGCAGGTGTGTGTGAGTATATATATATTATATATTATACATTATATATTAATTATATATTATATATTAATTATATATTATATATAATAACATATGTTCATTCTATGGTGTGTCTTGTAAAAACTTTAGTGAAAGATACCTCATGGCTAGATCATCACTACAGCCTTGCTTCCTGTCTAGAGGTGACCATCTAGGATTACAACTGATCCGAGCTGGACCCACTAGCTCCTCACTAAGATACAGAACTAAGGCTCTGCTTCTAGCTAGCTGTTCTCATCTTGGCTCCAAGAGCTACATCAGGAGACTAATTGTTACACTCACCTGGCACTTGAAACAGGAAGCTAGTGAGCAGGGGAGAATGGTTCAGACGCCACACAGAGAATGGCAAATAAAAGTGTCAGAGAATGAACACCTGGGCTCACTAGGTTGTTTCAGCCCGAGTCTGGGCCATTCCTGCAGCCCAGCTACATTCCTGCCCTAGATTTTTATTTATAGACTATGCTAAGGACAACAGGTCCCTCTTGATGCTTAAGTGAGGAGGTTTCCCTGATCTCCAGCCAACAGCCCTCATACAATCACCTCCTCACCAAGACTGTAGGCTTCTTCTGTCTGTCTGGTTGGTTGGTTTGCTGTAGAGTACACCCTAGGCCTTGTGCATGCTAGGTGAGTGTACTTCCAGAGCCCTCTCAAGGCCTTAAGTTAGATCCTTTTTAGCAAGGGCTTAATTTCAGTATTAATTAATCAAACACTTAAATTACTATCTGTACAATAATTTTGGAATTTATTTATTTAAAAAAATACTCAACATGTTCTTGGATAAGTAGGTAGAATAAAGTTGAGGTTTCTGTCAATTTTACTAAAATCCCTGAGCTGACAACATAGCTCAGTGTTAACAGTATTAGCCTGGTATGTGCATGGCACCCCCTAAAAAAATAAACCAATATCACACACACCACCAACTCAATGTATCCATTCTGCAAAGATAAATAAATATATACACAAATAAATAAATAAATACATAAAAAGTTCTTCAAAAAGTAAGCTATTTTGAGTGTTGTTTCACTTTCATAATACATCACTACATGACCATTTGGGTTTGCCTAATAAATGTTTTTAAGTCTTTTATATATTCCTAAAAGGATCTGGAACTTCTTAGGATCATCTGACTTATATTTCCTTTTTAAACCTCTCCCCAAAGGTCCCACTAAAGGGCATCCAGTCAGCACACAGGTAGAGTAGTTAACTTATCTAGATTAATTTTCTCATCCTGTTAATTAATGCAGTCTAGTGTAATTAAGCAACATACACATCTAATGATTATGCCATGTTTGCTGGGTAGGTCATGAAGCCCTTCTTAAGTACACACAAGAAGTGCATCTCAGCAGGCTCCCCGTACAGCCTAGTTAAAGGCTTGGACCTCTGCAGCCTTCATCTTTTGCTTGTCTCTAGAACATCACTTCATTATATACAGTCATTCCCATTGTCTCTTTCTCTCTTAGGGAAGGGTGGGTTCAAAGATGTTTTCATTTTGGGGGCATAGTTTTTTCCTAAAACCAAATCCAGGATTTGTCAGGCAATAAGTTTCTACTGGAGATGGACAAAGAAAAAGAAAAAAATTAATTTATTTCTTAAATCCCTATACAAAATTCAACAGAGAAGAAGAACAGGCTAATCATCCAAGTCTAAGACTTGGCTCTAGAGTGAATTGTATTTCACTGTTTCATTTATTTACTTTCCCTAAGACACACTTAAATTTTAAAACTTGTATTTTTATATTATAAAATCTTCAAGGAAATCCCCTTATAAATCACTGAAGTACTCCAACAGTGAGCATCTCCCGTCTTTGTTTCTGATGGCCCTGATCTCAGGAGTGCCTCTCTGCAGCTGAGGGAACACTGTATGATGAGGTGACAAAGTGCTACTTAATTATTTCTCTCCCTTTCACAGAACCCCAAGGCTCTAAGCTTAAAGACAATGCACATTAGAATCTGCTGGTTTTCTTGGGCTCACACAGTTTGAGCAGAAGAACTAGAAACTGACTGTAGCTTAATTCTTTTCCAAATCAAAACGGTGGCTCAGGGATAAAAGACCAATCTGCTAAACTGGTAACTGCAGCCGGCTAGGAAGTGAGTGCTCAAGGAAATGAATGCCCAAGTGACCACAGCACCCAGACAGGCAGGCAGGCAGGCAGCCCTGACAGGCGCAAATGACCACAGCACCCAGACAGACAGGCAGGCAGGCAGCCCTGACAGGCGCAAGTGACCACAGCACCCAGACAGGCAGGCAGGCGGCCCTGACAGGTTCAAGTGACCACAGCACCCAGACAGACAGGCAGCCCCCGACAGGTGCAAGTGACCACAGCACCCAGACAGGCAAGCAAGCAGCCCCACAGGTGCAAGTCACCACAGCACACAGACAGGCAGGCAGGCAGCCCTGACAGGTGTAAGGCACAAGAGAGAGCTTGCTTTCTGCTTTTAAAAGTGAGGATGAGAATAACTTTCATGGAGGTAAGTTTTATTTTTTTCTTAAACACTGTTCCCTAGTTCGGGTTTTAAATTGCCATTGAGACACAAATGTCATGCTGGGTTTGCCCTAGAGAATGAAGAAATAAAACTGAGTATCATGTCCTCTGTACTACCCAAAGGATTTCATCACAACAAATACAGAGCTTTTGATTTTGCATGTCCTAATTGTCCTCAGCCACCCTTTCCACTACCAAAATCTATAGTCCAGAAAATGGGCATGTGCTCTACTGCTGAGCAAGTGTTGAATGCCACAAGCAAGAGTCTAAGTTGGCATAAAAAGGGCCAACCAGAGTCCTTCCTAGTGCTGCATCTGACACAGATGTTCTGAAAACCAAACTTCTTCCATCATGTAAAGACTATCTACACTAGGAGAGCCTAAGACTATCACACAGAGAGAAACAAAGTCAAACCATTGCTTCTCAACCCTGAGCTGTTCCTTCAGTTTTGTAAGTTAACCTTTTATCTTTTTAAAAAATTATTTTACTAACGTATTTTTATGAGTGCTTTTCCATGTGCATGCCAGGTGCCCTCTGGGGTCAAAAGAGGGCATCAGATCCTCTGGAGCTGGAGTTACTAACAGTTGTGCCCTGCCATGTGGGCACTGGGAATTGAACCCAGGTCTTCTGTAAGAGCAGAGAGGGCTCTTAACTGCTGGGCTATCTCTCCAGCCCATAGTTTTGTATTTTTATCAGCTTCAGAACAGAAGATCCCTTTATTCCTAAAATTGTCTGAGTTGGATTTCTATCCAATGTAACTCAAAAATCCAACTATACTTCTAACACAAACTACACTGATTCAGGAAAGAGGACCGAGGCAAGCACAGAACTACCAACCTCACGCGAATCTCTAGTATCCTTCAAACCCTTTGATAATGTGGATGGTCCTGGCAGGTTCTGCTCTATCTCCTGTCTATCACCAAGACACCATCTCCAACAAATATGCTCACTGTCCCTGTTATAGGGACCCTGAAAGTATCTGATCTTATCAACACTTTACCAGGGCACCCCTAGAATTTCTCAAAATCCTAACAGAAGTTTGCATCATTTGATTTCCTATAAACCTGGAGATAAAACATATTCCAAGCAATACATTAAATGGAATTTAAATTTATTTATTTATTTATTTATTTATTTATTTTTAGAATTTCAAAGACTATCAATTTTCTAAAACAAAATTTCCAAATTTAAAGCAAATCCAACAAGGATAAGGCTATTTCAATATATTTTATCATACTTAATAAGAGCATATTTTCTACTTTATAACATTTGAAATTAGTGACAAAAATATCAAACATACCTCCAGTAAGGCTCCTGTTTGGAAGAACTTCAAAGGCTTTTCTATTGAATAATAAAGACTATGGTAGCTCCCCTTAGCCAGGTATGCTCTCACCAGCCCAACTGCTATCACCAGCCACCTAATAAAAAAGGAAAGTACAATTAGGAGAGGAAAACAAGAGTATGTTGGACTCAGGACAACGAAGACATAGGAATAGCAGAGCTTGTTTAAAAAAGTAAAAAAGACCCTAGATTTACCAAGTGCTGTAGTGTGTTGTCCACATGGAGGGCATGGTCCCCAGAGTGACACTACTGGGAGGAGGAACCTTTAAGAGCTGAGACCTAGTGAGACATCTTTAAGTCATCAGGGACATGCCCTGAAAGAGACTGTGGGACCCCAGCCCTCTTCTTTCCTTCTCTCTTTTGTGGCATGGTCATGAGGTGGACAGTTCTGTTCCTGCTTTGTCACTGACCCAATGTAAGGAGACCCTTCAACTGCAGGATGGAATCTCCAAACTTTGCACCAAAACAAACTTTTCTTCTTTGCAAGTGGATTATTTCAAGTGTTGTATAAAAATGTTGGACACATCAACTGTCGTTCACAAAGGCCGCACTGTAGCATAATAAGTGTTACACTACCTACAATATCCTGTAAAATAAAAGTACCCAGTGGTACCTTGCTTGTCTGGAACTTGGCTCTCTATTAAACCTGTCTGCTGAGAACAAGACCAATGCAAAGGGAATAAGCTATTATGGTCTTTGTCAGGTCCCAGAAAGTCTAAGGGGAACAAGGGGCTCAATTTTAATTGATTTATGCTGTTAAAGGGTCTTTAATAATAATATTGAGACTGAAAAATATTTTAAACTATTTCTACAAGTGTCTCAGTGGGACATGTCCATATATCGATCTTTCTTATCTAAATTACATATGAAATAAGAATAAAAGTTGCCTTTGAAAAGGAATAGTTCTAAATTTCCCGAGACCAAGTGAGAAAGGAGATCAATAGGTGTACTGATTAGAAACCCATGAAACAAGAATCACTGGGGCATGCAGTTGCCAAAAATTACTATTAGGCCTTGTGGTTCCTGTTAAATTCTGTAAGGAAGCAAAGGAACCTGGTCACTAAGGCCCATCTTGGAAAGAGCAGATTTAACTAAATGTACACACTCAACTAGGCAGCAGTATATATGTTCTACGTCTACAAACTATCTAGAGGGACATTAAGTAAGGGTTTATAATAGAAGAGATAAATTCCTTACTGGTTTAACTGGCTAGCATGGGCAGTAACAAATTAATGCTCAAGTTTATTATTAGTTAATGCTTGATATAATGTCATCAAGTTTATAACAGATCAATGCTCAAGTTGATTAGAGCGTTAACTTCCCTCCTGGAAGGATTAAAATCCCAACTTCTCATCCTGGTTTAAGACCCCACTCCATGCCCTTATAACGTGTTCATCACTCAGAAAAGGAGGACCTTCCTCATCAGAGGACTCTGACATCCCTCCACAATACAATGCTTCTACCAACACCTCTGCTAGAACAGGAATTTCACATAGATGTGTATACAGAGACCCTAAATGTTCTCCTAAAAACAAGTAGTCTGGGAATATTTGTGTAAAAGACATGGTATCTGCAATAACTCTTCACTGACCTAAGTTTAGATCCGGGGACTCTGAGAACTTGTATGATCTTATGCAAGCCCATGTTCCACTCTTTTTCTTTTTTTCTCTTTGTTTTTTTTTCCTCTCTCTCTTTCTTTTTTTTTTTTTTTTTTTTTGAGACAGGATTTCTCTGTGTAGACAAGGCTGTCCTACTCTGTAGAGCAGGCTATCCTTTAACTCAGAGATCCACCATGGCCAGCCCGAGCCTATGTTTCAACACCTCCCCTTCACCTCCCATCTCTAATACTAACAATCAGCCTACCACCCTCCCAGCATACTTCTTCATTAAAAAGCAACATAATAACTTTATGCTTACAACATTTGTGTGAGGGGCTATTATTAGCATGTGCTAATACCAACATCTGTAGAATATACAAAATTAGCTGATTCAAGTAAGGTGATCTGGAACAAGTTTTCATTGTATGTATATGCACTCTGTGTATATTTTAAGTTTTGATCCCTGCCGATGTATTCCCTACTGTAAAAAACATTTAAGGCTGGATTTTCAATATACAGTTCTTTAAATATTTTGTGCATACTTTAAAGCTTTACCTTAAAAAACTGGGGGGAAAAAATGGCCACGGTGGTAGGGATATTGCTCAGTAGTAGAGTGCCTGCAAGTGTGAGGTCCAATCCCCAGGACCAGTAAGCAAACCTGAATGATGGGGAGTCAAGAGTGGTGGCACAGGCCCCTGATTCTAACAGTCCGAAGACTGAGGCAGGAGGATCACAAGTTCCAGGCAGACAGGACTACATAATGAGTTCCGGTCTTAAAAAACAAAACAAAACAAAAACAAATAAACAAAAAATAAAGAAAAAGAAAGAGAAAGGGGAAACAGAAGAGGACGGGAGAAACAGCAGGTAAGAAAGTTTTACGACTTAGAAATTTCCTAATAAATTATATTGTGAACCACCTCACCAAAACCACTGGATTGTGAAACTGGATTCACCTTGTCCAACTCTACCTAACTGGAAAAAAAAAAAAGTAGAGCCTAGAGAAAGAAGCAGGTTTCTTCAAAGTCACAGGGCAAGTTGTGTGAGAACTGGAACTAAAACCCTGCTATGAAGAGATAGGCTTGAAATGGAGTAGACACCGTTCCGAGGGTCGATTCCCTCCCTACCTCAACTTGCCCCAAGAAAGTCTACGCCCGGGTCTCGGACCGCTCCGACTCGGGCGGCTGGCTGAAAACTTCGATTGCGTTCCCACCGCCTCCCAGACCGACGCTCCCGCCGGGGTTTTGAAAACGACCGCCTAAATGAATGGTCTCCGCAGCCAGTCCGGCTTCCTCGCCGGGCTGGGGCAGTCGTGACCGGCCGCCCGGGGCTGGCCTCCGCGCCGCGCCGCCCCGCACCTGTGGCCCGCGCGCCCGCCCCACCGAGGGCCTGGCCAGGCAGCTCTGCGGCCAGCCTGCCCCGCGCTCGCCCGGGCTGTTGCCCGGGCTGCGGGTCCGACACCCGGCGCGCCGGCTGCACGGCGCCCCCGCCCGCCGCAGAGCTCGCTCCCCGCCTCCCCGGGGGAGCTCCAGCCTCACCCCGCCGTCATCACCACATTGTAGATGACCAGGTACGCCGTGGCCACAGGCCCGGGGCCCTTCTTCTTCCGCACGCCGCTGCTGTCGCCAGCCCCGGCTCGGCCACTGCCGCCCCCATTCCCCTTGGTCGCTGCAGTCGCCGCCGCTGCCGCCATGTCAAGCGCCCGCAGCCCGCTCTCCTCGCGCGTGCACCTCAGACCCGACTGGGTACTGCGAGGGGGCGGAGGAAGGGACGAGAGGGAGGCGGGGCCGGGCACGGGGCGGAGCCGGGACAGCGCCCACGGGGGCCGCCATCTTGGATGAGGGCAAAGACTCTCCAGGCGCTCCCGCCTAGCGGCTCTTCTGGGTAGCCGCCGCCATCTTGGATGGGGGTAATTTCTTCCCGACTTCCGGCACACAATCCGTGGTGACATCCAGCGCCATGTTTGATTAGGTTAATGTGAACCTGGGCCTTCCTTGCCAGGCTTGCTCTTAATGAATACTTTGTCTCTGATCATTTGGTATCTTATAACCATCTCTTCCTGCTAGATCCAAATGACATGTCCTAGTCCTTGGTAACCTTAGCCTCTCCCAGGTGCCATTATCTTTACCCCTGTACACAGTTGCCCAAGAAACTAGGGTGATTGAACTCAGTTAAACTTCGTGTCCTGTTAAGAGAGCAGAAGGAACCTTTTGCAACATATTATCTTTCTCTTCAAATTGTAGCCAACTCAGGGAACAAGGCTTCAACAGTTTCTTCCCTGTCTTGATTTTTTTTTTTTAACCTGTGGTATTGGACATTCCCAAGTCTTTGAGAATTAGCCAGTTTGTCTCCATTCGTAGGCCTGCTTTTTATGAAAGAGGATTAAGGTGATTCAGTGGTTAGTGGAGGACCAAGTGAGGCAGTAAAGAGTTGTTTATACCTACAGGTTATGGGCTAGGTGGAAGGAAAATACTCCTACTGAGTTAAAGCAGAAATAACTTCTGAAAGCTGCTTAAATCTGCTGACCCCACTCATTTTTTTAAGTAGTTTCTTCATAAAAGTACCTTGCAATCAGTGTTCATAAATATATTGGTATTTATGTAATGTAATAAAATATGTATTGATTCCAAGAAGTATTTATGGAGGAGCATGTACAAGGTTGTATTGGAGTTTAATCAAAATAAATGAAAGAAACAAAAGTTGTCAGTCTCCAAGAGATTACACAGAAGGAGCCAGGCAAGAATCAATATACATTAGCTGGTGAAAAATGGTTTCAAAAGATTATTACAATGATCCAGGTCACCATGATAGTGATTTAAGCCAGTGTGATAATAATTGAAGTGATGAACACTGAATTCTCAGAATATTTTTGAGTTGGTGAAATCCCTATGTATTATATTAAAAAGAGAATCAGTTAAATGAATGAGAGTTTTAAAGTGAGTGATTGTTTTGAAAAATATTTTTAGGTAGAACATTTGGTTTTAATGGAAGGTAAAAGAAGCATTCAGATAGCTTGGGAGAACAAGTTGTAAAAAGAAGTAAATTTGAAGGCAGAAGTCAGGACTTTTATATTCAGTTTGAAATTCTTTTTAGAAATCTAAGTGGAGAGATGTGGAAGAGACAATTAGGTTTAGACTCTGAGGTTCAGGAAGACCTGTAGGCTAAAGAGAGAAATTTGAGAGCATCCAGATGATGATAGATTTAAAGTCCTGATGCCCCCCAGAAACTGAGAGGTAGAAGCAGAGCAACTGTTGAATTCTCATTCTTTACTGCTCTCAAAGGTTGCAAAGACATCCTGCTGCCTTGTTTTCCCTGACTTTTTAAAGAACAAGTCAGGGAGGAGGGAGCAGGTTTGTTTTTCAACAGACACATGGTAGTCCACAACCATCCTTAATTCCATTTTCAGGGTATGCAGTGCCATCATCTGACCCCTAAAAGCACCAAGCACACACAGAACTTATACATACATACAGATAAAACACTCCTACAGTAAATAAACCTTAAAAATAAAATAAAAGCCAAGCCCCCCCAAATCCAAACGTACAAAACCCCTCCACCTCTCATAAAGGAGTGAACTATTTTTCAAAACAATCATTCACTTTAAAACTCTCATCATTGATTCTCATCAGCTGATTCTCTTTTTAATATAATGCACAGGAAAGTAAGAGGCACAAAGGCATAAAGTTGGAAATCAACTTACAAACTCATTATGTGTTTTTGTCATCATTTAAACCCAAACCCATCAGTTCTGCAAAGTACAGGTGGTCTTTTCTAATTACAGATGTGTTCACGCCTACTACTTTTCTTGTTCTATTCCTGTAACTTTAATTTTTTTTCAAAACCTATTTTTAATGATGGTTCTTAAACACTTTAACATCCCTTTAACCCACCACCCACCAGAGGTAGTGGGAAAGAAAGGATACAGGGAAGTGGACCTGTTTAGAAAGGTTCTTTGGGGCAACTCCAGTCTGTGTTGTCTGGAAATCAGCAGTTCACAGGTTAGTAGCAGCAGCTTGATCCACTTGCAAACACCTCAGGGAAATAGTGGGTCAGCAGCAGCAGTAGCACAAACTAGCGGTAAGAGCTAGGCCTCAGCCTTGGCTAGAGTCAGCAGGAGGGACGAGGAAGAACACCAGGAAAAGTTCTCAATTGTGCCTCTCTCAGGGAAGGGATGGATGATCAGTGAAGACTTGAGACCCACTAGCATTGCACAGCTAACTCTATAAGCAAGCCGAGCTCAGCCCCTGTCACTGTCCATTGAGCCCTATTTATACTTTCTAAACATTGTGTGTCCTCCACTGGTCTTGTATCAGCATATATCTTGACTCAGCTGTGCACCAGTCTCAGCTGACATCACTCTGCCATCAGCCTTGGCCTGTAGAAGCAGCAAGAAACTGCAGCACACCACCAGAAGTTTTTTGATGCATTTCTCTCTGCGGAGTCCCAACAAATGCAGCTCAACTACACAATGTAAGGCGGACCAATACAAATGTGTTATTATCAAAGAATCCTTCATCACATGTCGTTTCACGTGCTTGCTTTAGCAGAACATCCTCTCTCCTGTGTGTGTCTGCTTCAGTGAAACATTCCTTCATAAATCAGCCTTAGTCTTCCATACCTGTGTCCACTTTAACAAAACATTCCTTTACTGTGTTTGCCCCAGCAAAACACCATCCAATACAACTGACTTTCCAAAGAACCTTTACAGTTTCCACTTCATATTCTCTTATGACGTGTACATGGTTTTTAATGACAATTAAGATACAGTGTAACAATTCCTTACAGAGCTTAAAAGAACAATATTCAACTTCATATGGAAAAACAAAAAACCCAGAAAAACTAAAACAATAAAAGAACTTCCAAAGGTTATCACCATCCCTAATTTCAAGCTGTACTACAGAGCTATAGTAACAGAAATTTCATGGTATTAGCATAAAAACAGACAAGTTGGTCAATGGAATCGAATTAAAGACCCAGATGTTAATCCACACCTATGTACACCTGATTTTTGAAAAAGAAGCCAGAAATATACAATTGAAAAAAGAAAGCATCTTCAACAATGGTGCTGGTCTAACTGGATTGATTACATACAGAAGAATGTAAATAGAACCATATTGATCACCCTGCACAAAACTCAAGTCCAAGTGGTTCAAAGACCTCAACATAAAACAAAATATACTGAACCTCATAGAAGAGAAGGTGGGAAATAACCTTGAACTTGTTGGCACAGGGGACAACTTTCTGAACAGAACACCAATATTGCAGGAGCACTAATATAGATGATAAACAGGACCTCATGAAAATGAAAAGTTTCTGTAAAGCAAAGGATACCATCAATAAGACAAAACATTAGTCTATAAAATGGGAAGACATTTTTATCAACTCTGCATCTGACATAAGGATAATATAAAAATATATAAAGAACTCAAGAAATTAGATATCAACAAACCAAATAATTCAATTAAAAAACAGGGTACAGATCTAAACAGAGAATTACCAACAGAGGAATCTCAAATGGCCAAGAAACATTTAAAGAAATGTTCAGCATCCTTAGCCACCAGAGAAATGCAAATCAAAACAACTCTGAGATTCTATCTTACACCTGTCAGAATGGCTGAGATCAGAAATACAAGTGACAGCTCAATCTGGTGAGGATGTGGAACAAACTGGAACACTCCTTCACTGCTGGTGAGAGTTTACACTTATACAGCCACTTTTGAAATCAATATGGTGGTTTCTTAGAAAATTGGGAATTGATGTACCTCGAGACCCAGCTATATTACTCCTGGGCATATACCCCAAAGACACTCCATCCTACCACAAAGCCACTTGCTCAACGATGTTCATAGCAGCTTTATTCATAATGGTCAAAAACTGGAAACAAGCTAGATATCCCTCAATTGAAGATGGGATAAAGAAAATGAGGTATATTTACACAATGGAGAATTATTCTGCTGGTTTTTTTTTTAAAAAAAATAACATCATGAAATTTGCAGGCAAATGGGTGGAATTAGAAAAAAAATCATCCCAAGTTAGGTAACCCAGACTCAGAAAGACAAACATGATGTGCACTCACTTATAAGTGAAGGTTAGATGTAAAGTGAAAGATAATCATCCTATAATCCACATGCTACAGTTCACAGACCCAGAGAGCCTAAGTAACAAGGAGGGCTCAGGGGAGACACATGAATCTCCCTGGAAAGGGGAAATAGAATAGATTTTGTGGGTTAACTAGGAGCAGGTGGACATAGAAACAGAAGGGATCAGGTGGGGTGGGGGGGAATAGAGGGAGAGAGTACTGGGAAAGAGGACTGGAATTGGGAGGCATTTCAGGAGCAAGGTAGAAACTCAGTGTGATGGAAACTCATACCAACGAATCATAGCAATGAGGAATACGGAACCTGAACCAGCCATCTTGTGCAACCAGGCAAGACTTCCAGTGAAAGGATTGTGTCACCAACCCAGCCACAAAACCTTCAACCTACAACTTGTCCTTTCTGAAGCTGTGCTGGGGTAAAGGTGGCTCCGAACTTGTGGGAGTGGTCTATAAATGACTGGTCCAGCTTAAGACCCATGGCAGGAGAAGGAGCCCATTCCTGAAACTGCCTGGAGGGCCAGCAACAAGAGGCTGAATAACCCAGACATCTAGGATAGAACCAGATACAACCAGAAAAAAAGTCAATGAAATAATTCCTAATGAGACTTTACTATACTTGTAGACCAGAGCCTAGCATAATCGT